AAAACAAAAAATAAAAATAAAAATCAGAAGGCTGTCAACGCAGAGTAGTGGCGGCGAAAAAAGCAAAACAAAAACAGAGGTCAGAGGTTCAATAATCCATGGGACCCACGTAGGCAGGTAACGAACACAGCAGACGGGCTGAGGAAAGAGATTCTAGTTCTAGGAAAGGAACGTACTCGCAGTATTACTTTGCATGCTGCTTCTGATCGCAATCACGTCCACAATCATTCATTTCGAATTCGAAGAAGTCGTCATGAGCGTGCTCTCAGAAGAGCAGGCAGGAGGCACGACACACTGAAAATGGCTCTGACGCGTTGGCTGCCTTCTTGCAGGCAGGGAGCATGCAGGTAGGAGAGGGCGTCAGGCAGATCCCTGTGCTCTCCGGCGGGGCAGGGCCGACGAGGTCGACGCTCGGCGCCGACGGATGTCTCCGTGTATCCATGTCCTTTTTTTTTGCTTTTTTTTTGTTTTTTTTTTCGTGGTTTCATTTCTTTTTTTTTCTGGATTGAAAGCTTAGGGAGAGGATCCTCGGGGGGAGAAGGCGGTCCCCGTCCGCCACGATGGTAATCGTGCTACCGGTCGCTAGGGGTGCGACCGCCGGTGAGGGTGGCGAGGGAGAGAGTAGGACCCTGACTGTCAGAGGAGCGCGCGCGGTAGCCCGCGCGGCTGGGGTGACGGAGTTGGCGGGATTTTCTTCCTCCTTTCTCCCTCGACCGGCTCGGCTATGGTGTGAAGTATCATCATGGTCCATAGCGGTCTACCTTACACTTACACAAGGACAACGAAACGACGACGTTGAGCACACGTTCTCTTCCCGCCGAAGTATTTTCCCGCCATAGTGCGACAAGTTCTCTTCCCGCCAACGTCATGTCCCTCCAAATTCCGTAACGAGCTTTCCGCCTGTCAGTTGTACGGCTTCTCGTCTGGTTTCCGTTTTCCCAGCTGCACCAGGGCCGTTGATCGGGTTCGTCGAGGCCCTGGCGCGTGTGCGGCGCAACGGGAGAAGGGGTCACCAGACGGTGACACGTGTGCTGACACGTAAGCTGCGATTAACGGGACTTGTCACGTTGGCCGTGACGTGGGGCTGGAACATGAGGGAATCGTGCAGCTCTGCGTGGGAAGTAGGGTGTCCCAGAGTTGATCGTCCGTATTGCCAGAAGGGTGGGCAGTTGGATGAGATCGAGCTGCGATGGAAATGCTGTCGAAAGGGTGCATAATTATTCAATTAGGAAACTAAGAGACTGTCGAGGGGGAGAAAGGACGTGGGATTATCTCCATCGTCCGTGCGGAGCAGTTCTGCGACGATTGCCTTTGATGTTGTCCTTGCGCCTGCTCTTCCATCTTCCGTCAATGTGGAGTGAGTCGCTGCTCAAGCCTGCTCATACGGCTCCACGCACGTACACACACACACACACACAGACACAGAGAGAGAGTGCTGTCTCTTATACACATCTAGATGTGTATAAGAGACAGCACACACACACACTACTCACTCTCGCACATCCACACGTGTGCACACACAACACACACATTCTCTTGTCTATTAGTGGGGAGCAGCACCTGCTGGAAACGAGGTCCAGCATCCCATGAACATCGTGAATAAAGCACCAGTCGGGACCCCACACACACACACCCTCTTCGAGTTGTGTATAGTGAACATGAAAAAACATAGTACACAGCATAATCACTACCTTACCCTTACCCTTCGCCAACCACATCAACAAACAAACTAGGGGTTGCGCACTCATGCCCTCATAGTAAGTCAATGGGTCAACTCGGTGCATCCAGCCTCCTTATAAACATCTTCTCCTAGCACTATCCCCGGCACCCCTCACAACGTTTTGAGAAAAAAAACTAACATTGTAGCTGGTGGGAACGAACATTGTAGCTGGTGGGCTCTGACTCTAAACCGGCAGTAGAGATTCATGCAGCATAGTGAAGAACGAGGGTTAATTCCCTCTAACAGCTGAGTCAAGTTCTTCTTTGTTTTCGGGGTTTTCGACGAAAGAATTTCCAACATTGGTCGGTCATTCAGAACTGTTCGATTTGGTAATCTCATAGCAGTGCTAACGTCACAACTATAAATGTCCGACAAACGTACTGGATTGAGGTGCTTGTGGGACTCGTGGGACTCCATGAGATGCTATGTTCAAACTATCTGGCCACAACTAGTTTTTCTTCATGCGATTCAAGAGCATAAATCTCAAGGGCTCACAACACAACCTTTGAAACCGGCAAAATCGAAAGTGCATTTTTGCCACACAGCCTTTCGAACCATGGGCTCCCGAAAACTGTTCGAAAGGAGTCAGGCCCCTCAGCCTCGAAAGGAGTTTCGAGATGGCACTATCCTCCCGTCTAGCACGGCCCGTTTTTCAAAAGTCCCCTCGAGGTCTTGCGAAAAAGGGCATCTTAAGGCCCATCTGTCAGGGTCGCTACCTTGACGACAACCAATTTTCGGAAAGTCCGTGTGGCAAAAGGTGGGCTTCCGAAAGTCTGTGTGACGAAGGCGGATTTTATTTCAACCCCCCACCTTTTGAAGAGTTCTTGACAAATTTCCAAAAATGTCTGCCTTCGAAAGGTTGTGGCCAATGTAGAAACTACCTTATTTTTGACATGTGTCAGACGTTTTTTTATGTTGTTGTGCTCAATAAAAAGACAGCCTTATAGTATTACGGGGAACCCCGTAGCAGCCACATCCGTGCTCAAGCCTCCAACGAGGGAACATGTGGGAGTTGCACCCACCAGCAGGCACGATACCTGCTACAGCAGGTGGGCGATATCGGTCAGGGGTCAGTCGGTAGCTTTAGAACCGAGCTTCTTCGATGGTCCGCCAGTCACCGTGCCTCCCCTCTAGTCCCCTCCCCCTATCATGATGATGAGCATCAACAGTCTTTGCTCAATGCCACTCGGGGGGACTAACGACATATCTCTAGGTGGCGGGCGCCAAGCTTGCCCAGGAAGGTACATAAGGCCAATGGGCATTGAACCCAAGACCTCCTGAATGCCACCTGCGTGCCTTACCACATGAGTTAGGCCGCTGGATAAAAAACAGTCTTCGCCACACAGCGAATGTCGAAAATGTGGGATGCGCAAAATAAAAGATAGAAGAAGAAGACACAGGATATAGAGGCCGTATAACATAGAGGGGACTAAGGGCGTCGTTAGACACTCCTTACGAGTTCCTTGAGCCACAAGGAATTTTCCTTATGGCTCAGAAGGAATTGTTGCTGCCTCATTCCACACATCATTGGGGACGTCCCCCAATGATGTTTCCTTCTGGCCTGCCCGTGACCATTTTCATACGAAAATACGCGGCCGCGGGCGGGGGTGTCCGTGGTCCAGCGTCCGTTGTCCGTGTGGAGATGGCGTGGTCCAACGACGTCTGGCGGGAAAGGGCATGAGGCAGGCCA